TAAAAATGCATCTTTGCCCCTGAAACTCAGCTGAATGCCAAGACCCTTGCTTGCAGGGCATCTGAGGGCAGGTAGCTTAATGCAATGGAAAAGAGTACTGGATATGGAATTAAAAGATCAGGGTTATAGTCTCAGTTGTGACACTTAACTCTCTGTGACCTTGGAAAAATCTCTCAGGCCTCAGTGTGCCCCATACTGTAACTTAAAAAAAAAAAAATACTTATGTGACGTGATCCACCATCCAAACCCAACCCGCTGCTGTAGAGTTGATTCAGATGCATAGCAATCCTACAGGACAAAGTAGAACTGCCCCATAAGGTTTCCAAGGCTGTAAATCATTTACATAAGCAGAGTGTCATATTATTCTCCTGCAGAGTGGCTGTTGTTGTTAGGTGCTGTTGAGCCGGCTCTGACTCGTAGCGACCCCATGTACAACAGAATGAAACACTGCCTGATCCTGCACCAGCCTCACAAACTTTGCTATACCTGAGCCCATTGTTGCAGCCACTGTATCAATCCATCTTGTTGAGGGCCTCCCCTTTTTTCGTTGACCCTCCACTTTACCAAGCATGATATCCTTCTCCAGGGAATGGTTCCTTCTGACAACATGACCAAAGTAGGTCAGACGAAGTCTGGGCATTCTCACTTCCAAGGAGCAGAGCGGCTGGTGGGTTCAAAATGCCAACTTTTTGGTTGGCAGCAGAGTGCTTTAACCACTGTGCCACCAGGGTTCCTTTGGTCTACCATAGACCAGTTAAATCAGTCTCTGAAGATGGAGTCCCAGGCACTGGTATTTTAAAAAGAAGCTCTCTAGATATTTCTAATGTGCATCCAGCATTTGAGAATCACTGGGTCAGATGGTGATTTAGGCCAGCCCTTCTCAAACTTTAACGTGCATACAAATCACCTGAGGTTCTTGTTAAATGTAGATTTTGATTAAGTAGGCCTGAGATGGCACCTGGGATTCTGCATTTCTGACCAACTCCCAAGTGATGCTGATGCTGCTACCCTAGGGGCCACTCTCTGACTAGCGAGGAGCTAGGAACCAAAGAACTCAGGCCTTACCTGAGTGAGCTGGTTCCCTTCTTACCAGTCCTTGCCAGGGCCACTACCTAGCATTAGAGCAGCAGAGAGGCTCTTGGCACTGCCCCCCTCCATGGGCTCTGTGGCTTGGGAAGATGGTACAGATGTGTAAGAAGTAGGAATTGGGGGAGGGGATTACTTTAGTCTCATACTTCCTTCAGGCTTAGGGAGGAGAACAAGAGTAAAGGTGGGAGGTGCCTTTCTCCTTATCTTTCCTCCTTTGTTCTGCCTTTAGCCAAAAGTGACTGAAGGCTGAGATTTCGAAGGGTTTCAACAAAAAAACAAATAAACCCCCCCAACTCCAACTCATGATGATCCCCATTGGATTTCCGAGGCAGTAAATCTTTACAAAAGTAGATTGCCCCATCTTCCTTCAACAGAGCGGCCAACCTTCTGGCTAGCAGTCAAATGCCTTAGGCACTACACCACCAGAGCTCTCAGGGTGACACAATGCTTAAGCATACATCTACTAACCCTGAAGTTGGTGGTTGGAACCCACCCAGTGGTGCCTCAGAAAAAAGACTTGATGATCTGCTTCCAAAAATTCACAGCTATAAAAACCCTGGGGAACACAGTTCTACTCGGACACACATGGCATCACCATGAGTCAGAATCAATTTGACAGCAACTGTTTTTATGTATTTATTTATTTATATTTTAATTTTTTATGGCATATGGGCAATCTCGGGTGGCCATACCAGACTTGTGAATCTTAGGGGTTATTGTCTCCTTTTGGGCCTGCCTCTCTGAAGATTCTGACCTACTCCATCCTTGGCACCCTTCTTTTGTCCTAAAGACAGGAAAGCAGAGCTGGCTGTCAGGAGAGACACTGGGATGGGGAAATCCTATGCCTTTCAAATATTCCCTGGGCCTACATGAAGTCCCCTGGGGCTTATCTTACCACATCACCCAGATTACCACTGGCCTAGAAACTTGGGTCCTTTCCTCGGCTTCCATTGCTCCCTGATAGCTGGGCTATGATAAGGCAGGGGCAGAGGTACTAGTAGCTGGTCTCTGCTGGAACAAACATTTCCTACCAAGAAAACCCAAACTCACTGCCTTAGAGTTGAGTCCATTTCAACCCATAGCAACCCCTCCTTGGATTTCCGAGGCGGTATCTCTACAGAAGTAGATTGTCCAGTCTTCTTTCCGAGGAGTGGCTGGTAGGTTTGAACCACCACCCTTCTGGTTAGCAGTCAAATGCTTTAGGCACTATGCCACCAGAGCCCCCTAAACATTTCCTAGGGCCTCTCAAAGGTCCTAGTGATTCCCAGATCTCTATCATAGGTTAGAAAGTTGCATTAACCTAACACACACACACACACACACACACACACACAATTCCTTTCTAAAAGGAGCTATGGATTAGGATCCAGCAGCCCTGTGATCCAGAGATGGCTTTGCAAATTGAAGTCCTGGTACAGTTGTCCTCTTCCTCGGGCTGTGTCCTACAACACCCATGCTAACCTCTGTTACTTATTTCTTATCACAGTGTATGTCTGTTTACTAGTCTGTCTCCTTTACTGGACTGATAAGGCTTTTAAAGAATTCCTGGCACACAATTAGAGCTCAGGAAATACTTGTCTAATGAAGAGATGACACCTGCTCAGATGGACAGGCCCAGATAGAAGCCAGCATAACTGTAGATGGACCCTCACATGCACACATGCACTGATACACATTCTCACTCAAACACTGCACTTGCCTGTGTCAGCTACACAGAGACATGCCCAGATAGCAGAGTGTATTTGTGAGCAAACATGTTTGCATGCATATGCTTGTATATGCACACACACATGCCATGCACGAACAGATGGAAGTGCTTGTGGATAGATCCGAGTGCATGATCCCTCACTAACTTGCATGGATCATGGACATAAGTAAATTAATGTGGCTATAGCTATATGCAGAGACTGATGCTGGGGTAGGCAACCACCCTATACATGCACTCCCTGAGATGCACAGGTGTTCCTTTTGCCCTGCAAGTCTTTGAGGTTCTAGGGGCTGCAGAACCTTCTCTTCTCACTCTCAAATATTCATCAGTGTATGACCCTTGAGTAATTTATTATCTTTTTGACAGGGTTCTGCCTTCCCTCGCTTGTATACCCACACAGCATCTCTGCACAGTTTTGTCCTTTCTTGTCAGTCCTGGCTGCCAGGATCTCATCCTGGATTTCCTTGTGGGAGAACATTGGAAAGAATGAATTCTTTCTGTCTTGGAAAAAAATCTCACCAGTATCCTTGGAGTCCTTTGGTCAGTAGGCCCAGCCAACCACAGGCACTAAAGAAAATGATGGATATTTGGGGCAGGAGTATATGGCCAGAGCAGATCTCCTGAGGCCCATAGACACCACTATAATGCCAGGTCCCATGGTCCCAGCCCCTCTGCTCCCTGGCACTACCTGGGTGAGGAGCAAATAGCTACCTAAGCTCAGGTCTTTGCTACTGGCAGTCAGCCTACCCTAAGAGGGCCTCCTCTATGTGTGTGTATGTGTGTGTGTATATGTGTGTGTATGTGTTAGAGGGAGAAATTTGAGAGGGCTCCTCTCAAACTGCATATCCCCATTGAAGCAGTACTTCAAGTACTGCTTCCTGGGTAGAGGTGGGAGACCCACCAGCCACTGCCCTCCAAGACTCTCACAGGCCAATACTATGTCAGCATGACATTCAGCACTGGATGGAGCTGCAAATAGGCAGACTCACTAGGGAGAGCTGGGGAAGTCCTGACAACTTCCCTAGGGAGCAAGGGCTGGAACTGGGTAAGTAGCAGTAAAAGAAGAACACTGTGGAAGCTGCTGTGTCAGAAGGGCAGAAACCCTGGAATTGGAGTCCAACTGAGATTGGACTCCAGCACCAGCACTGTGTTACTTCTTCAACTGTGAGACTATATAGACAGGCTGCTTCCTTTCTGTGTCTCAGTTTGTATAT